CCCCTTCTCCCTCTCAGGACCTTCTTGATTTTGAGTTTATCTTGGATGCTAAAACAGCCTTCGATTTGGGCCTTCGGCCAAAACAAGTAACTTTATCGGTTCTATAGGGCCGAATATAAAATTAAGCGAAGTTTATAAACTAGAAAATAAGAACTTTACATTTTGATGAAGGATATGATTCTGTCATCAAATAATGATTATTTCCTCTTGACAGTAAAAATCGTAAAAAGAAAAATTATTGTTACACAATATTATTTGATACTGTTATCAATAATTCCATAATACTCTTTATCTTCATTTGGGATATTCCGGGATATCGATTGGCTACATTGTTATTCCACGAATATGAAGAGGAAAGTTTAGTTTCATGCATCATCTTTCAGGTTTATTTTTAACCAATTGTAAATAATTGCTACAACAAGGAATGTTTCCTCAGTTGGAAAAACAGTCATCTTGACAGAGTTCTATTTACCTATTATTTTCTTTGCTGTGTTACCTTTTAAAAATCCTAATAATATTAACTAGGATTACATAATAATAATTAGCTAATATTTATAATATTATATAAGTATAATATTAACTAATAATAGTTCGTGGTACAGACTCCTTTTTATCAAACTATTAACATCCGACTGAAACTTCGTAAATAGCTTCATTTCATCGTAGCCTACAAATAGTTTATTTACGAACATTCTCGGAATTGGGGCGTTTTTAAACTGGAGACCGACAAACTTTGTCTATTTAATTAGGTATTAAAAACTCGTAAATAACCATTTGCTTTCCGCTTCAATCGAAAGATAATTTGAGCACCAAATCAAGAAAAAAGGTGGTTTACAAAAATATTAGACCCCTTTGTCCTATATAACCTAGTTATTTATTCCGAAGCTAGAAGTATATTATGGTCACTGTATAAAACAAATTTTCATATAATTTCAAGATGAATTTTTGGTAAAAATAAAATTTTTGCGAGGTTTCATTTCGAGGAGTTGGACTTTCCAATAAGGGATTAAGAAAAATAACTAAACTACAATATTTATAACCCTACTTTCAGTTTGGGCACTCCTTACAAGAGACATAGATGTGTAAAAAGTAATAAGATAGAAGTAAATGGCCAAAAGAAAATAGATAATAATAAAAGATAAATGAAATAATAAGAATATAAATAGTAATAGTTATACTAGAAATAATAAAAATAAATGTGAGAAAATTTGATTATAAAATGAAATATACAATTTCGACCATGTTAGTAAGTAGAAAATATTTAAGAACAGGAGCGGATTTAAAAATAGAAAAGGCGTTCCTTGATCTCCCAGGAAGCAGGAAAGGTTGTGTGACCACTTGGATGAATCCTTTCGCCCATGACCTGGTTTCGAACTTATATGTTACGTCACCAACTTGCATTTTAAAATATAAAAACCTAATATACCGCAAGATCTGAAAATAATTCTTATAAAATCATTAAAATAGACGATTCAGAATCCCCAGAACACAGTTACAGGTTTAAGGATATGACATGAAATTCGGTATGTATGAAGTTTTATTTTTCATACAGGAGAATAATACAGAAATATTGAAAAATTCAGTCAGACTTTCGTTAGCACCAACTATCAGACACTGAGGGCCAAATTGATGAGGGAGACAGGACTCTACATTTGAACAGAAAGAAACTTTTCTGAACTGATGTCTCAACGAAACTATCCGCACTTTAAAAGCTTTGTATGGAGGGGAAAAGAAACTGTGGGCCCAACCCACTTCTCCTTGGGTAGGCGTGAAGAAGCAGTACCTGGAAAGCCGCCGATTAGGACAAGAGAAGAAGATGGAGGAAGATAAAATGAGAGAGAAAAATTAATCAAGCAGGCTGTGTGCACAGCAATTTATCAGAATGTAAAAAGATAAACTTGCAGCAGTGATTTGTTATGCAGAAATGTGTATCAAGTCACTTCTGCAAACTCCCGTATTGCCTTAAAGGCAGGGTAGGGAGGAAAATAAAATAAAGTCAGAATTTCGTTGGTTTCGAAAAAACTGTTTTTCCCTTCTTTTTCTTCATGTTTGTACATAAATTTAGTTGGCATCGGAGAAGTATTTTCTGTGGATCTCAAATTTTTTTCCTGCTTCATTTGGATAAATTAAATTCAGAAATAAATTATATTGTTTGAAATAAAATATGAGATAAAAGTTTGTAGTTTAATTTTCATTAACATTCTATTCTGTTTTATTTGGAAATCCCTAATAAAACAATTGAATAACTTTTCATATGTTTCTGAAATAAAAATAAGGAGAAAATGCGACCTCATTGGTTGGTTTTGATTTTTTTTTGTGGAAAATATAGATTTTCTATAGTAAAATTTTAACATCAACATATATACATATATAAAAACATATCAGTTTACAAATTAACATTATTTGATTACCACGATATTGGTCGTTCGATCTTCAAGTCGGTATTGCGTAAATTAATTATGAAATATTTTGTTATCAACTTTCTTTCTGAAACATTGTATAATCCCGCTGACCATGATAAATTAAATGAAATATTAAAGATATTTCTTTACATCATGCATGTTATTGTAATATCCACACTTAACTGCAACTATTATCGAATCGTAATGCAATCAGTATAGTAAATACTGATACGACTAATTACATTAATTTAGTTATTTATGAATACCACTTTATTTTTTCTCCATATTTTTGAAAAGTTATCAGAAACTTTATTACAAAATTATGAACCAAGGACCTGTTTAGATCTGTATTCAAGGATTACTACTATATTGTCCTTAAGTACAGCTCATTCCATCAATTGTCAATAAAAACAGTTTAGTTTGTTAATCCCCTTAATAAATATTAGATGGATCAAAAATATCTCGACACTTTAATCATAACCGGAAACTATAAAGATATCAGTTTAAGTTAAAGCTATTAATTCTGGCTGAATAAAATAAATTGAAAATATACAGAATAAATTCGTCTGCCAATAAAGTTTTTCAAACGCTTAAGGTAATCACTTTATAATGTATACTTCTACAACTGATAAAATATCTATTTGTAACCTATTCACAAAAAAAAAAAAAAAAAATGAAAACCCTTGAAGAATTTCGATGTTATTGTTTAGTCAAAGAGTGCTGTTGGTTGTATTAAAGGTCACACAAGAAGGAGACCGCAATCGACGTCAGGTTTATCCTCCAATCCACTATATACAATTAAAATTACCTAAATGATTAAATACTACAGAGATCTTTAGCAGCATGTTGTGACTTTACAAACATTTATTGCTTTTATATGTACACCAGACATCCTCCAATCCTTATAGATAAATTATCAGCAACGTATTCATTAAAACGGGAAATGTCTAACATACCTTTATGTTAGAAAGTACTAGTAAGTAGAAAGTATTAAACCATGAAATTAACATCGGTTACTTAAAATCCGGGGATTTCAAGTCGAAAATTTGAATTTTTGTTAGCTCAGTAAAAAATCTAATTAAAAAAAGAGAGGTTGGTTTACCAAAAAATGGAGTAATTTTGATTTTCAAATATATTATTTGTATTAATCCACTCATTAGAAAACTAAGCTTTCGACCTCCCTTACCTTGTGCATATTTCGCCATTTTGAAAAAAAGAAACGATGCTAAAAAGGTCAGTAACTCGCATTTAGTGCACTTAAGGCAAAAATACGTCATCACCAATATCAAAGAACAGTCAAATTTCTTTATGATTTATAGATAACATTTTGGAAAATTTGTAATAATTACTGAAGATCTGAAACAAAAATCCAATTATTAAAATTCCACTTTCTTTTCACATTATTATTCCTGAGCACAATATCATATTTCCTATGTATCTCATACAGTGCCGATCCTACCTGGGCAATCGTCTCGGGGTCGACCGATCTTCAGGGACGCTCACCACTTGTTATAAATAAAAAAAAAATACAAATCGTCATGTAACAATTAATTTTAGCCTATCAATAAAGCAACTATATTAGAGAAATATTGAATGAAAAATTTAAATATTACATAGTATAAAACTGCTTAACAAATTAAAACTGAGAAACAAATTTAAATTTTTTTGGGGGGAAGAGGTGACGTCATTGTCCAGAGGATGCCGAATGTCTAAGGCCGGCACTGAACCTATCTAAGGGAGGGTTATGCGGCTGTAAAGCGCATGGACTCAAAGACGTATTTTACTCGTGAATCTGCCTTTAATTAAAAGCATTGAAAAAACAAAAAAACATAAGTTGAGAACGGCAGATTCACGACTTCGATTTCATGGGCTTTAACAGCCGCTTAACCATCTCACATATTGATTAACGTGTCAACATGAGATATATAGAAAATGCAATGCTCTTTCAGATTGATTATTATGTATTTCTTAGAGAGAGGTTTAGGATATGAGTTTTGGGGGAAAAAAAAGATTTGAGACATATGTTCTTCCGTTAGATGAACCGTCAAATTTCGTTTCTTTAATTTAAATTTTGGCTTAAAGTAAATCTGGTAAAAGAACCAGATTAGTGCAGTCCGACTGATCGAAGTTGTGTGTTCAGAAGAGGTTTATCTAGAATTTAAAATAGTTAATACCTTTAAGTCCTTCCGTTAAATGAAATGGTCGGAAGCTCCTAGTCTATAATATTCAACTCATAGTTGCAGAAATATATTAATAAATGGCGTTACAAAAAGAAGGTTCTATAAATAGTTCCCAATGTATTATGGAAAAAATTAGTACATTTCAGTGCAAATACAATCCATATTCGTGGGAGATGAGTTATGTAACTTTTTTTATAATGAATAATCGATTCATGTTATAAATCGATTGCACTTATCACAATGATTATTTTATTAATATTTTGTTATGCTTTGTCCTTGGTTCACTGATAAGAACCAGATTACGTAAATAAAGTGTCCTGATCAACGATTATATCACATTTTTTATTTTTAAAGCTTTGAATTGTAATTCTCGAGAAGACCGCTACCCTAGGAAGGCTACATCGAAGGTGAGTGACTCAATCGAGTTTCGTTTTTTTGAAATACTATCAAATGCAGTTCAGAGCGGGAGGTGTACACATCTAAGATCAGAATGTCATTCCATAATTCTCATAAACTAATATTCCAATGTTTCCGTACTGCAGGAACCTTTCAACTTACCAAACCCTCGCGGTCTCAGTTAAAACAAGCAGTTGGCAAAAGATTTTTTTCTAATTCAAACGTTGTCAAGATGAGATTCGTACAGTATAAATTCAAAAATGATGGTCCTCAGAGATTGGGAGCTCAGTTATCTGAAAATGGTGATATAATTGAAATAAGTGCCGTCAAACCATCTTTACCAAATAACCTAGTTGATTTCCTTAAAGGAGGGAGCGAGTTGCTGAATGTTGCCAAAAGGTAATGTATTGGTGAGTTTATAGTTATATACATGCTATGTTCTCCTCCATCTATTAGTATTCATTTTACTTAGGTTTCCATTTCTCTTTTTAAAGTGTTGTGGCGGAAGGGAGGTCAATTATACGCCTTTCAGAGGTGAACATATTAGCACCTCTTACGAATCCTGACAAAGTGATCTGTGTCGGGCTAAATTATAAAACACATTGTGATGAACAAAAGAAACCGTACCCTGAGGAACCTTTCTTCTTCTCGAAATTCTCCAGTACAATCATCGGGCCCAATGAAGAAGTTAAACATCCTCCTAACTCCAGGGTAAGTGCTCAAAATCAATATTTAAGATTTCCATATTTATGAAATAATATGGAAAATAGCTTGAATGTTATATTCAGTGGTTTTTGTTAACATCTTTATCCTCTTTTTTTTATAAACTGTAGCATAATGTTGCTAATAACTATTATCAAATACTTAATTTGATACTATGTTATCAGTAATTCTTATTAGATATTTTTAAGTATTCCTTTTCAGAGGTATTTAAAACCTGTAGTTCCATGTTGAAATGATACTAATATTATAAAATCATTGATGTTTTTTGTCTTCATGATTATAAAAATATATATATAAATCTTTGGTCAAGAAGACATACATTTTCTTTGTCGTAATAGGTGACTTAAATCACTTAACTACGGCTTGAATATTTTTTAAAAAGATTAATTTTAGTAGTTTCGATGGAACATTTTTGAAAAAAATTTTCTAATAAAGGTCAGGGGGCTTGTAAAAGTTTAATTTAAAAGAAGTTGCATTAAATGAATAATAATCAGTAATTTGGCTCAGGTTATAAATATATAATTATCTTTAATTAATCTTTTGATTCTCATATTAAGAATACACAGTAGAATTACAAGTTTTAAATTTAAATTTTGACTGAATAAATTACCATAACATAACTTTTAAATAAAAGTTTTTAAAGAAAAAATTCAATAGAAACTTTAACTGGAAAGTTTGTACAGGATACATTTCTAGTAACAAATAACAGAAAAACAATAAAAGATCAAACTTCCAGTCTGACTAAAAATAAAAGTTAACGTTTCATTTCAAGTTCTGCTTTTAACAAATACCATCCAATTTAGTTAAATTTTCAAGCTGTTAATCCATCAGAATCAAGTTAAGTGTATAAGCAAAGTGCAAAAATAAATTGCAATGTTTATGTTTGAAAATGATTCTATTCCTCTTCATTCAGATAACAGAGCTGAAATAGATTATGGAAATACTTAGTTGAGCCATGTGGTGAGAATGAGAGAGCAGTAATCCCACAATGAAGTTTTGAATAATATGAAATTAATTAAACCAATAAATATAAATTGCTTATTGCATTATATTTAAATGTTTAATCTATTATTTGCTTAGAACAACAGTACCTTAAAATTTTACATTTCAATGTCAGGAGTTGATAACATATAAAATTTGGTTACTTTGGAAAATAAAATATTATTATCTGTTTTAAAGTAAACAAACTGATTTAATCTTATTAGAATTTAGTTATTTATTATATTGTTAAATTCATATCTATTTTATAATTCTTTATATGTAACTGCATTTACATGAATTTATACATTTAATATATGCTGAGGTTAATCTATTAACAATGATTTAATTTTCATTTTATGTTATTATTATAATTACTTTGGAAAAAAGTTTAGAGTTCTTAACATTTAGAAGCAATTATTATCGCTTCTTAACTACCTTGGTATTTATTTAACTTGAGAAAAAAGTACTCCTAAGTTGTCCTTATCACATTCTCCCTTCCCTTATTGTGCAGGTTTTCTTCAACTTATGTTTGTAGCATAGGTGTTTTGAATATGATGGCATAATTAAAAATTTTTAAAAAAATAAAAACATTTAATAACAGAAAAACTTATTTAAATCCATTTTCATAAAATATGAATATATATAAAAAAAATTAAAGAAAATCCACTAAGTTTGATCTATTTTGGTTAAAAGTGAAAAAATTTTAACTGGAAAGCTTACTTTTTATTATTTTGCATTCATTTTACTGTTTTACGGGAGTATATTATCCTTTCAAATATTAAAATATTATCCTATTATGATTTCAAATAATGCGGTTAGTTAAATATTTTCAAATACATAACAGTTTTCTTAGCGAAGTTTAATAAATAAAATAATTTTCTAGAAGAAGTATAATATATTAGGCATATTGTTGTTTTATTCTAAAAAGTAATTAAGTGACATTTCATAATCTATAATCATTGAATTTTGCTATTATGAATTTTCCCTCTGTGAAATCAGAACATTGTGCAATTATTGTAACTACATATATATGATAAATAAATAGGTTTACATCCTTTTCATGCACTTACGGTGTTACTGTTTTGATAAATAAGGTAAAAATTCACAAAAACATATTTGAAAGGTAACCATCATCAAAAGTGCACTTAGTAACTTTTTCCAATAAACCAGTTTATTTTCTAGCCATAATATCTACCTTTCGATGCCATAATGTTTTTTAAATAAAATTCTAGGCCAATGATCAACAAAAACCTTTTATTTTTCATAACGTTTTGGCTATCTAGATAAAGCCTTTTTATACCTCATTTTAAATAAAAATCAGATATTGCTAAATTCTTTTATCAGTTTTTTTTGGGGAGTTTTGATTTAAATTACTTGTGATGTTCCTTCTAATGAGAATCATCATTAAATAGCCATTAACATCAGGCATGTTAAACATAATCCCGAAAAAAATAAAATAAACTGATAAAAACATTAGCAATGTATTACATTTTACTTAAAATTAGAAAGCACAATATATTTGAAAATAGCTCAAGATAGCTGAAACATCTTGAAAAATAAAGGAAGGTGACCATTGGCCGATAATTTTATTTTTGAAAAAATTGAAATGAAAAACCTTAAAGAGCAACTTTTGGAGATATTAATTAAGGTTTATAATAGCATTTTATTAATTTTTTTTCTGTTCATTATAGGCTTTGGATTGGGAAGTCGAATTAGGAGTTGTAATAGGGAAAAAGTGTCGTTTAGTCTCTAAGGATGAGGCTAATGACTATATATTTGGTTACACTGTCACAAACGACATATCTGCTCGGGACTGGCAGACACCGAAGAAAAATAATGGCCAATGGTTATTTGCAAAAAGTATGGATACGTTCTGTCCACTCGGACCATCTGTTGTTGCAAAGGAGTTTATCCAAGACCCACACGATCTTACACTTACATGTAAAGTGAATGGTATCGAGAAGCAAAATGGGAATACCAATGATATGGTCCACAATGTCTATGACATCGTTTCCTACTTGTCCCAGTAAGTATTTGCTCACTATTAAGTATCAAGTTAATTTATAATAATTTAGTTGGTTAACTGCAGTATATTAGTTCTAATTATTTTAGATGTTCAATTAGTGTACTAATAAAACAACTTGATTACCAAAGGTTTGAAAATGCCCAATATACAAAAAAAGCTGGCACATTATTATCATTATGTATTGAAATAATTTTTGTTAAAAATTATATTGATAATTGTCAATATTTAAATTTTTATATGTATCAAAAAACCCTGTGCCACTACAACCCTTGAAGGGTTTTGGAGTTCAGTACTTCATTAGGAAGTACTATTTTAGTACCAACGGTTGTGCAGGGATATATATAGAATTTTATATGTATGTAGAAACTTTATTTTGGGGGCTTTATAATTTAGTAGAGTATAATAATTTCAGTAAAATTATAATTTTAAAACTTCCTCAATTTTATTTCATAAAATAAGTATAAAAACAAAGAAAAGCTCAAAATAATATACTAAAAAATACATCATATCTTATCATTGTTACCTTATTTTTTATATATTATCTTCATATTCACATTTTTTTTTACTTGTATTTGTTTTGTTACAGCTGTGTAACCCTCCTACCTGGAGACGTAATATTAACTGGTACCCCATCAGGAGTTGGTGTCTTTAGGCAGCCACGAGAATTTTTAAAGGTATGTTTTATTTCTAAAAAGAATATTGAAATTTGTATGGACTGTTGGTGTTATTGGCATTGAAGCTCTGGATTTGATAAATCTTGTATCGATTTATTTAGATATTCCTTAAATTCAATCTAAGAAAGTTTTAGAGCATTGCTGCCATAGATTCTAGATTTTATTTTTCCCCTTTAACTAAAGCATTGATAACTTCTAAGGATTTTCTCTAAATTCATCATTAGTACAACAGTTAGAAAGCTGAATTACTGTTCTTCCACTCCACAGCAATAACTTTTAGGTTTATTTCTTTTTTAAGCTAAAAATTAAGAAAAACTTCTTAAATATTTTTATTTTATATATTTGGTTTTAATTTGTTTACGGAGGTTGGGTTTTTAGCATTTTTTGTAGCATATAGAGCCCTAAATTCCTAATAATTTGTTTGTGAATTGATGGAGTCGTCCTGAAATTGTCAAAATTTTTATGGTGGACAGCAAATTTCTGAAAGGTTGAGTTGAGATAAATATTTTGTGCAAAATTTTTAATTTTTTGATTGCTATAAAAGTTCTTATTTAAGGGTTTTCTGAGGTGTGAAAAAACAAATATCAATTTGGTTTAGCTCTAAAAAAAAAGTTTAGATTGTTGACCTGTTTGGAAAAATATTATATTTAGCACAGTATGGTAAAAATTTGGACCAACTGATGAATTGGAGGTTATCTTTCGCATCTTAAAGTCGTTTTGGATTATACCATAAAAAAATGAAGAAAAGACACTACGGATCGAAATTCGGAAGATCAATACTCTATTCAGGAAAAGTTAGAAAGTGTTTTTTGGCCCTCCTGAAATATTGTGTTTTTACTGATTCCCTTAGTTAAGCATACACCTGACGATATGTATCCGTACATATATTATTACAGTAAGGCTCGAATTTGGTTTTGTACCAAATATAAGCTCCTGTCATGCTCAAATACCACGAATGGGGTACTGTTGGATTCAGAATTTCACGGGGGGTTAGCGAATCGTATTTTCCACTTTTGTTTTTCTTTCTAAAATAAATAAAGTCAATACAAACATTTTGCTAGGTTTCGATAATGGAACGGTAGTAGGTCTGTAGATCGATACGGGACAAATTGGAACTTAAAGATTTTGATGCGTATAGCAAGACCCGGATAGTTCCCTCGGAACTATCGGATCCTGCGTTTTTAAGCCAAAAAACATACTATTTTCGAGATAATGCAAGGCATAGGGTTCGCATCCACACAACCTTACATTAGTTGTAGTACTGTCATTGAATACATGTCTCATTTTGTCGACTTGAGGTCTCTGTGATCGAGAGAGGGAAAGTTTATATTATTCATCGATGGTGTTTTTGATCGGCAAGCCATATCATCGTTAATTTTTCACCAAATCTCAAGATTGAGCCACCAATTTCGAAAACTTCCTTCTCCTTCAGGCTGGCAAAATAGTCCAATCACCCAGAAAATTCAGGCAAACAAGTTATGAAAGAAAATAAACTTTATTTGCGAATAACTGAAAAATTACACACTTTTCCCTTGGTTATTCCCATGATTATATAAAACATTACTAAATTGTTTACAAAAGGATAAAAGAATATCATCGAAAACGATTAGAAATTTTTCCAATATTTTTTATTTTTCATTTTATTATTTCTTTTTTCATATTTTCGTTTAATATTCATTAGGAGAGTTCTATTATAGCCAATTTTATTTAAAAATAATTATATATTTGGCATATAGCTATATTATCAGTACGATGATGAAACAATTTGTACTGACAGAAGGACGAAAGTGGGTTCAAACATTTTTTTAAGGGAAAACAGAGTTGAGATTTGTATTTCGCACCTCTATAAAGCCTCGAATACGAATTTTCATAGAAATAAAAAAAAAAAAATGTTTGCACTAAATCGGAACCAAGGCTCCCCCCTTCGATCTTCTTTCGAAAATCACAAAAAGTGGGATAAAATAAAAATGACTCCACGTCAACCTTACATTAGTTGTAGTACTGTCATTGAATACATGTCTCATTTCGTCGACTTGAGGTCTCTATGATCAAGAGAGGGGGAGTTTATATTATTCATCGATGGTATTTTTGATCGGCAAGCCATATCATCGTTAATTTTTCACCAAATCTCAAGATTGAGCCACCAATTTTGAAAGATTCCTTCTCCTTCAGGCTGGCAAAATAGTCCAATCACCCAGAAAATTCAGGCAAACAAGTTATGAAAGAAAATAAACTTTATTTGCGAATAACTGAAAAATTACACACTTTTCCCTAGGTTATGCCCATAATTATATAAAAGATTACTAAATTTCCTACAAAAGGAAAAAAAATCATCGCAATCGGACAATTTTTAGCAAATATACAGCTTACTGAAATTTGTATACATGTTGGTTCCAAACAAAAATGAAGATTTAAATTAATTTTTGTTTGCTTTGTGGATTATATTTATCGATAAAGTAACATTTGATGTCTTTATCTTTTGATAAGTTGCATTTTCTTATTAATTTGGCATTTGATAACAATATGCTGTGCGAATTTTTCGCACGAGCCTACTAGTTTTCTTTAAATTTTGCTAATCTATAAAGTTTGCTGATCTCCAAATTGAAATTCTCCAATTCCAAGAATTTGTGTAAGATGGAGCTATTCACGAAGTTTTAGGCAGATGTCAATAATTTGATAAAAAAGTTTCTGTACCACGGACTATTAGTGCTCCAGTGATGGACATAGCTAAACAGATACAAATCGATAAATAAATTTAAAAAAAAAAAATCTGTTCTATTTTCTGTAATAAGCATCAATGAAACAATTAAGTAAATCTTATTTCATCTGTTTTCCGAAATGAGTGAAAGGAAAATATGATCTCAGTGACTCACAGAGCTCTGCTGCTCATAGTTCTCTTATTTATTTTAATATTCATTTAACGTTTCTTTAAAATAATATGATATGGTTTAAATAATTTAAGAGAAGGATGGTTGGGGTGATCAGTCAAAATAAAAATAGTAAAAATAAATAATTATATTTATTTTCATATTTGCCGACATTTCCGCCCGAAGTTCAGGCCTTAATCAGGGCTGTTCAATCCGACAAGCGTGAAAAGATGGTCTGATCACCCCAACGATCCTTCTCTTCAATTATTCACTACAGTCAACCATCAACCCACAATTTTAAATAATTTAAATGTAATTTTCTTTATAGGTTGGTGATGTCATTACAACTGAAATATCTGGGCTCGGTAAGCTGGAGAACACAGTCGCATAGCAACTTCTCTATTCCTCAGAAATAGGTTAAACTAATATCTGTTTTTATGTGCAATTATTGTTATTATCATTCTACTTAATTACTATCAACAATTCGTCTAGAAATTTGTTTTGAGTGATTTAAAACATAACTAAAAACCTATAAGATTCATGGAATCAATCATAACAATTGTAAATTACTAAAGGTTTATAGAATTTTTTAACATAACATTTTATATCACTCATCACTATACTTAATTTAATTTAAAATGTCTCAGTAGCTAAATAGCCACCATTTTTAGTTATCTGATTGGTGTTTGGGAATAATCCATCTTTATAAATATGTAACATGATATTTAAATGTATATTGAATGGTATATATAATTAGGTTTAAGTTAGTTGTAGAAATACAGTTTTTATACTTCAGAAGTGTAAATTTTTATATTAAAAAGTTTTAAAGAATTATTTCATTTTAAAAGACTGATATTAAATTGAGTTTAAAAGTATACTTTCAAATTACACATTGTATAATAATTAATAGTTTGTCTCTTAAATGCTGTTAATTAAATTTACACTAGTATTAGATGCCGCAATAATGTTCGGTTTATAAATATAATTATCTGTTGATTGTTAATATATATATATATATGATTATGACCTTTCTTATAATTTTTATTTAAATTCCTGATTTATTCTTTTTTACTTTCACTTACCTTTTTTTTTTTTTTTTTTTTTTTTTGGTCCTCCCCTCCCTCTCCGTTAAGGATATACAGGGTTTTCCCAGGCCAGGGGGTATGGGCGGGGATTTAAAAGACGGCTTGGCACCGGGACCCTAACTCTTGACTATTTTTATAACACATTTGCCATATATCAGGTTGCCGGGCAACGGTGGTGCTGTGCACAACGCGTTAGCCCATTCAGCCACCCCGCCCACCTTCACTTACCTATTCATGAAATATATAGTAAGGAAAGTATTGCGATCGTGAAAATTTTTGAATCTCAGTTTTCAATGGAAATACACGTTTTGAGGTCCCCTGAATCCAAATAACCAAGTCCCGCAAAATGATCTGTGTGTTAACAGTCTTGCTCAAAAACGAAAAGTCGTACGAAAGTGAAATTTTATATTTAAGGTTTTTATATGCTAGGGATGTTACAGTAAATTTTTCGTCAAAATCGACTGACCGGAAGTGGCACTTTATATCATGGGCTAAATACGTTTTTACAATTTTCTCGGAAACGGCTCTAACGATTTGGAATAAATTCATTATATCAATATAAAATTAGGCAGTTTTAAATAAATTGTATTTTTTTTTTTTATTTTATTAATATACTCTTAACAAGACTTAAATGGCTGATTTTCAATATTAGCTTCCTCTAAAGTACCTTTAATATTTTTTATTTGAAACAATTGACTACTTCACATTACTCTCTAATATAAAAGATAGTTAAATATAAAATATGAAAGAATTTGATAATTAACTAAAGGAGAAATAAAAAATCGTAACGGAGAAGAGTTGTAAAGGAAGGAGATGGTCCGGGGTAGCGATCATAAAAAGGCTAAATAGTGGCAAAACTATTTTATTAAAAGCCAACGTTTCGACCCCACTTTGTAGGTCTTCAGGGAGGTGTGTTCAGCTAGGAGTTTCACTTAGAACGGGAGCAGTTTTAATAAAATAGTTTTGCCAGTATTTAGTCTATTTATGACTGCCACTCCGGACCTTCTTCCTTTATAATGGAACGGTCAACTAATAATATTCAATACGAGAATAGTTGTAGTTAATCGCACCTGACATCACCTGAAAGCTTATAACAGGCTTCCATACGTAACATGAGCTTGATATAATACGGACTGTGACAATATTATATAAATATACATATGCGGTTTTCATAAATGCTATTGTTGGTATTATTTAATATTTAATTGTATAGATCACACTGATATAAATATTAAAATTTGTATATATAAGGGTACTTTGTATTTATATATATTTGTATATATAAGGAAAATACCCACAATGAAATATAAATAATTATAGCGTCTATAATTTTTATTTTCACTTATTTGTCTGAAAATATTTATTTGTGCTAAGAAGAGACCAGTAAGTGAAAGTTGTGTGATGCACGCACCGCACCATATTTTTATTATATATATATGGTCTCAAATACTTTTCCAATTTAATAACTTTGAAATGGAACTAGGTTTGCCATATGAAATTTTATCCCTGTTGAATATATCCATTTTTCTGCAATTATTATGGACTGATGACTTATGTTTATTCATAAAAGACTAAAATGATAAGAAATAACTCATTATTTCTTAATTCTTCAACACTTATTAGACCAATGCTCTAAATTTCCAATTCATTACAAATATTTTAAATACATGAATATAATCAGGCTTATTTAGATTTAAGGATTAAGCTTCCTGAAAGCTTATCTCAATATTTATGATACCAAATTCTTAATTCTCTTTAATATGACTCAAATTAAATTATCTTTAATGCTCGATATATTGCAGTTTTAGCCCTAAAAACTTTTCATTTCACAAAAAACTCCCTACTCACATAAATCTACTAGTTTCTAACCTTTCTTCCCAATCAATTCTCAATAATATCAAAAGGATCTAAAAAAGAAAAAAAGTTATTGGACCACTAGCCACAGGTACATAGTTGGGTATTAATTAATTAATTAATTTCTTATTTTTTCATTTCGTGGGCCCAAGACTCCCACTGAAGTCCTATACTGCAATTTTTATTAAGTTTTAATAAAGCAATATAGACTTACAGGATAGAACTATGGGGTTCTGTTAAAAGCTCCAACATTCATCAAATTCAGTCCTTTCAGTGAAAAATATTACAGAAAATAGTAAACACACTGTTCCATCAAATGATATATGACAATTTCAAATACTAAAAAAAGAAAATTACCATAACTTTCACCAAAGACAGCCTTATTATTAGTAATAAAATATAGGCATTTATAAACTATGAAAATATTCGATATTTAACTAAAGAAGAATTTTTCTTTTTTAAATTGAAAACAAATATGCACTTGACAACCCAAAATATAAGTGCATAGAATGGTTTTATTATATATTTATAATTAAAGTAATATTTTCAAAATTAGTTATGTTAATATCTTATGGTTAATGTTTTAGTTATTAATTTATATAAAATTAATTTATACTAAAAGTAGGGTGGTAAGTGAAAGTTATGTGATGCTCCACCCTAGATATATACATTGTTTTGGCTACTAGAATAGCTGAAGAAGAAATATTTCCTTACAATTTAGTCACTATCTTATTAGAAATTCATTGTAGATTCTGAAAATGTTTTGGGGAAAACGAGTTTTCTTTGAAAGTCCTTTAAAATATCATGTCTTCGCCAGTGCTGCCCTTAGGGCTGGGCAATTTCCCGGGATCACACAGTGGGAGGAAGGACAGGTTTTCATGGACTTGAGCATAGAACGTGTAAATGATGGATTAACTTGATATTTTATGAACTTATGTTTCCAAAGCCAAGGAACACGAATATGAAATCAAAATTGGAAAATTTTCACGAAAAATAAGAAATTTGGGTTTCTTTATTTAAAAAGGAATTTTTAAATTTGACAATAAACTAACTTCAAACATGATAAAGAACTCTTAAAATACATAATTTTATTTACTTACTAATTACTACTCTTTATATTACAACGTATAATCATTATTTAAAAAAATATATATATTTTTTTTAATTTTAAAAACAATATAATATAAAAATATGATTATGATATATTTTTATGTAAGAACTAAAAAAATTTACTATGCAAATTTATTGTTTATCAATTATAAATATTCATTTCACAATAGTTCTTATGGAATAATAAACATTTTATTTTACAATAAAATTGTAAAAACCATCGATAATGATATTCATGATACTTCCACACATTCTCAAATGAAAAAAATACACATTTTTCCATTATATTTATAGATTACGTTAAAAATGTGATACAGATCAACTCATAATATAAAGCTTCAACGGAACAGTGTCAGATTCATTTTACTCCTATGAAATTATTATGTCATGTAAATGAATATGGATTTGAGTTTGAAAATACTATATTTCATTACTAACATAAAGTAATATTAATGGAACAAGTAAATAAAAGTTTTTTTTTTTCCTTGAGGCTATCTTATACTGGTACCTCTTTACCTCAACTTATTTAATCCTAAACTTTAGTTCATTTAACTGTGTGTTTGTTTATTTATTTAGATTAGAGCGAAAATAAATAATGGTTATATATGGTTAAAAGAATGACATAAATGTTCATTTTTTTATCTAAGTAGACAAAATTAAAATTTTAAAACAATGAAAACAAAGATTTAATATAATTTTTTTGGTTGGGTGTGACCTCCACCCTGAATAAGTTAAAATAACTAGGTTTAAATAGGCCAAAAGGCCCGATGTTTTTGTAGGCCACCTTTTTTTCTTAATTTTGTGATCAAATTACCTTAGTTTACAAGCAGAAAGTAACTGGGTATTTACGAGTTTTGAGTATCTAATTAAATCAACAAAGTTTGACGGCTTCCAGATTGAAAACGCTCCGATTACGAGAATTTTCGTAAATAAAATATTTGCAGGTTACGATGCTATTTACGAAGTTTTAGGCAGATGTTAATAATTTGTTAAAAGGGCTCTGTACCACGGACTAGCCATTTAACGGCTGTACAATAATACAATGGTTTAACTACATCTTTATGTATGACGTTGCATTCCCTTTTCTCTCTAATTCATTAAATACTGTTGTCACTTTACAGTAACGTGCCTTCCCTCCTCCCCCCCTCCCAAAAAAAATCTAAGTGGCTGCGACTATGTATATTACTATCACCAGTCTTAGCCGTTTGAAAATGAGTTTATTAAGAGGAAAAACTCATAGAATGAAAGTTTTAGAGCATTAAATTGTACGTCTTATGAGTACCAGCATTTTTAAAATTAGGTCAAGTACACCTCCCGTATTTGGATTCGACGCTTCTCTATGAATTTCTATAATAAAGATAGTATATCAATATTACTATATCAATACTTATTCAATTTTCAATCTCTTTATTCGTTAACATTCATTTTCTTTATATGTTAACCTACAGTTATCAAATGCAATCTTTATTAGTTTGTTATACACTCCTTATCTTTTATTGCAATCTGTTTACTTTTAACTTATATGCTATATTCTCCTTTGTTTTCTATTTTTATTCATACTTATTTTCCATTTTTGTTTGTATCTTCTATATATATATATAATACTTGATATTTTAACTACATTGTCACCCACTATATCTCTGATATCTTTTTATTTCTTTATCAGACAACTTCTTATTATTATATTTCTACTTATATTCATTTATTTTATTTTCACCACGTTTTGTATCTTTTGTAGCCCTGATGAAGACCTGCAAAGTGGGGTCGAAACGTCGGCAAAAAAAAATTAAATAATACTATTTGTATAATTTAGTATTTATTTGACCGCATCCCCCGATCAACTCCTTCTAATAAAGATGGCAACTTCTGAGCCAGTTACCAGGCAATGAGAATTTGCCAATTTGGTTAATTAACCACCTAATTAAAAATA